GATATTTTAGGTTGGTAGGGTGGTAGCTGTTAAAATTTAGGTAGCAATGACCATCTGTAGGTTTACTGTATAGTGATATGGAGATGTGGTTGTTGTTTAGACATACCAGTACACACCCAGAAATGGAATGGAAGTGATTGAATATGCCATTGCAAATTTGATAGTGTTGTGAAAAATTGTTGGTGTATTGTTTGAAGTCATGGAAAGTGTTTTCAGTATGTTTCCATATAAAAAATACCATCTATATATATATATACGTGAGAGATTCATAGAAGATTGAAGTTTAGATTCAACCTTGCTAACCGAATGCGCCTCTGTGGCCAAATCGGTAAAGGCACGTCAAGCTAAATGACGGTTTCCGTATAGGATACAGGTTCGAATCCTGTCAGAGAACGAATATTTTCTGTGAAAATTTCTCGGACATTCAGGCCGGTAAATGTTGTTTATTATGAACAGAGCATTTATTTAAATATTTGTATGTATAAACATAAAAAATGTCTTAATATATATAATTATGATTTATATATATATATATATATATTATAAACTGTTATACTGGAACATGTTGGTAACAGTTTATAATAAATATTTATTGCTGTACTCTTGTATTGAGCCCTTTCCTAAATCAATGTTATGAATGTTTGAATTTATATTCTTTTTGTTCATTTACATTTGAATTTTATACATATATATATATATATATATATATATATATATATATATATATATTAAGAATATATCCGGTTGAGCTCTCTACGGAAAAAGGTGGTTTTAAAAACAGCGGCTCTTACTGCTATTAAGCATTAACCCTCAAGTAAAATTGAATTGAGTTTTACAAGCTGTTGGTTATATATATATTCTTAATAATTGTATAGGTAATAAAATCTTTAGATGCTGGATAGAAACATGACCAGTCTCTTCAGGTGGTTAACCACGGTCGGATTTCTGTCCAGCTCTAAAGATTTTATTACCTATATATTTATTAATAGCTTTACAGGTTAGTGTTTCTACCTTGTTATTGAAAACACTTTTTATTACACAGGTTTTAAAAAAGCCCTTTCTAGTGTTAGTTTACTTGTTTATATTCTATATATATATAGTAATACACAACAAAATCCAAAATTACCTCATATGGGGGATAGATCTATTTCAACCAATGAAAACTTCCTTAGTCTTATTCAACCCTGAGTACATGTCAGAATTAGAAATTTAACTGAGACAGCCATCGAAAAATTAATACAGAATTTATCCGTTTCAATGTTTCAGGCAGATGGAAAGCATAAGATAATGGTCAGGGAAGGGTGGATGGTATTAACCTTAAAGGGAAGAGGTTTTATAAAATTAAACCCAGATATTAAATTGGGGTTATATGAAGAATAAAGTGTTTATTTGAAACTAAAAGAGGACCAAAAAAGGAATTTTATAAAAATATTTTATATAGATAAGGTTAGGTTTAAAAATAAGTTCCAACTTAAAAATACTCTTCCAAAGATAAATTATACTTAAAAATAAAATATATTTAAAAAATTAAAAATAAGTCCTATTTAGATAATTTATTAAATTTAAATAAGAATATATTTAAAAAAATTATAATTAATGGAAAAATTTGTTATATTAAAGAATTAAAAAATATATTTAAAATAAAAATATAAGATAAAATAAATTATACATTAAATAAAAAAAATTAACTTTAAAGATAAGTTAAATCAAAAACAAGTTATATTAAAGAAAAACAACAATACAAAGTTATATTTAAAAAAAACTTAAAGATGCATACATTTTATTTAAGGATCACAAACCTAACTTCACTAATAATATACAGTCTAGATTAATAAATCCTACTAAAAGTGAACTAGGCCTAAACTCAAAAAATATAATAAAAATAATAACTGATAAATTATTAATTACAACCTGTACTAATCTCTGGAAGGATTTGTCAGATACAATCAAATGATTCGCCAATATGGGTGATAAAAAAAGAGCTACATTTATTAAATTTGATATCATAGATTTCGATTCCCCCATCTCCAGGGATCTCTTGGTTATATTAATTTTGCAAGAAACTATATGGATTCAGCCCAGGTTAATGATTTAGTATGTTTTTATATTTTAGATATGCTTAGTAGAATTGTAGATCCCAAACTAATTGGTCTATATAGAGATGATGAACTCATTTTCATTCCCAATATTAATGGTCCACTAACCGCAAAGATACAAAAGAAAATCATTAGGGCCTTTAAATTACAAGGGTATAGGACTGAAATTTCTTCTAACCTTAAAATATTTGATTATCTAAACATCACTCTTAACCTCAATAATAAAACATTTAAACCATACCATAAAGACAATGAAATCCCCACTTATATTGATGCTAATTCAAACCACCCCACTGCCATTGTGAGACAGATATCCACCACTGTTGGCACTAGGATTAGTCGATTATCATCCAACATAAACATCTTTAATAAAAATAATGAATTGTATGAAAATGCTCTCCATAAAAGTGGTTTTAAAAATAAATTATCTTATCTAACCACCATAAGTAACACTGAAATATTTAAAATGAAATGTAGGCACAGAAACAGAAAAATAAAAATGATATGGTTCACCTCCCCACTTCTGCAAACTGTCAAATATTAATATCAGACAGCATTTTCTAAAGTTATTAAATAAACATTTTAACAAAAACAACCCTTTAAGTAAGATCTTCAATAGGAAAATGATTAAAATTAGCTATTCCTGCACCAATAATATGTACAAAATTATCAGCTCTCATAATAACTATATTTTAAGTTCTATGGGATAAACAACAAACCTGGTATTAAACCCTCCTGTAATTGTAGAGATAAAGAAAATTGTCTATTTGAGGGCAAATGCAGATCTACTAGGATTATATACCAAGCAACCATTTTCCCCAAAGAAAATATGAAAAATTATGTTTACATTGGAATATCTACAGGTGAATGGAAACAGAGATTTTATACCCATAGGCAATCTTTTACCAACCCTAAATTAAAACACCAGACAGCTCTTTCAAAAAAAAAAAAATTAGGAATTGAAGGATAAAGGTCTGAACCCACAGATAGACTGGAAAATTATAGGTTCCACACATACTCTTAATAGAGATAGTTGTAACTTATGTTTAGAAGAAAAAATTACAATAATAAAATACAATAATTAAAGCAAACTATTGAATCAAAGGAATGAATTTTCTTTATTAAGATTTCTCTAATAGATGTAATGCACACTTTTCAAAATAAAAAAAATAAAAATGGAATGTCTATTTTAAGTATGAGTTCGGGCATTTTGATGTGGTGTAATGTTTAACAAACTTTTCTCGCTAGATCAATTATGACTTGACTGGGTGCTCTATATTTTCAGCCTTGTGCCAAATCTAAGCTATGCTTATATCATATATGTGTATCTACTATAATAACATTTGGAGTAATAAAATGCAGGAGTAAAAAAATATCTATTCTTTAGAAATCATATATATATATATATATATATATATATATATATACTGCGTGCCAAATTATTATCGAGATAACTTTTTTCTAATATTTCAAAAACCGTCCAATCAATTCACACAATGTTGGCAACACTGAGGTGCAATCACTGAAATTTTCGTACTGATCTGCGCAATGTAAACAAACAGGCGCCATATTTGTTATCAGCTCAGTGTTGCCAATATTGTGTGAAAATTTTGTGTGAATTGATTGGATGGTTTTTGAAATATTAGAAAATAATTTGGCACGCAGTGTATATACAATTTCGCCTTTAAATTAGAAGAGTGAGATTAAGCCAAAAAATGGAGTATTGTTGCCATATCTAGGCTGGAGCTGCTCAATATAAACTTTCCAGCTTTGATAGACTTCAAAATTGTTTACACTGTCTTGTTTCTGTAAGCACTTCTCCACAGTTGCAAAATTGTTGCTATTTCTATGGCAAATGTTCAAATGAATTCTATACTCTGGTTCCATCAGTTCATGTCTTTACAGCCACTTCTATGTAGTTGAATCGTTTTCATTTCCTCCATATTTTAGATGCAAGAAAAATGTTTCACTTGATGTTTTTTCCTAGAACTGATACTCTGTGAAAAAAAACAAAAAACATGAATGCTTCCCTGAAATAGAATGCTTCAAGTCATGAGTCAATCATTATCTATCCTCCTTATCCTCATAATCATCACTTCCTACCACCTTCTCTCATTCATATTACGCACCGCATTCATGATAAGCATTTTAACAGTAACCCTCTACACCACAATCTTAACCTCTTCAAATCAAGGATCAAACATTAGCTATCCTTCTTATCCTCATAATCATCACTTCCTATTATCTTCACTCCATTTTTTTTTTACATTTCAATATAACTCTCTACCATGAGTGGCTCTTGTGCCTTGTATTGGCTGTGCTTACATGAAACCAGGTTTTGGAAAGTAGTTTTAGGTTAATAAAATTTTGTACATGAAAGTTTTGTGAATTAGGTCAACTGTGGTTAACGGTTCAGCGAAGGGCAGAGTTCTACATTATATCGGATGATGATTTCGTGATGTTATATAGACACAGACGTTATAATGAGAATAATGGTTGGAACCCCGTAAAGTGTTCTCTCTGATGAAATTTTTATTGCTAGTCTTGTGAAAATAAATATAATTTTTCTTGATCTTATTTTTTCCTTTGGAAAATATTACTATGGACCTCATAGTACCTGTAACTCAGGCGGAGACTGGATAACAATCAGCGATTGTTACTGAGGGTGTCAAGTACTAGGTGGCACCTATCTCATGTATCTGAGACAGGTGGGTTTTTCAAATCCAAATGGATAAATGGAAATATGGATGGATAAAATAGAATAAAAAAGTAAAAATAAGAAAATTCTCTATTGTTAAGTCAAATTTATTCACATGAACTGTTATGTACCAAGTAATGTACACAGTGTGTGAAATTGTGTGGCTTTCTTGTCCTATTGTACTGAGTGCTAAACTTTAATTTGGCTTACGGCCACATCAGTTGAAACACTGGTACCCATATGATCAATGAAGTTAAGCAACATTGAGCCTGGTCAGTACCTAGATAGGTGACTGCTTGGGAATACCAGGTGCTGTAAGCTTGGATGTGAGTGTTGTAATGGATAATGGCTTGGAATTGTTAATTGGAGAGTCAAATTCGAATTCCAGATTGGTCCATTATATTCACTTATAAGCAACTACCTTTGGGAAAGGTATGAATCCACCTTTTCTCCCACCCAGCTAGATGTTAATTATTAAAACATGTATCACTAAGCCATTATTATCCCACCCACCACTACCCCGAAACATTCTTACAGTCTAAAAATATATTCTGGCTTGAGATAACCTGAAAAAGGTTGATAAGTCATAAAAAATAAATCAATCATTAAAATCAAAAAAATTTCATTTCTGTGTGAATCTCTAGGATAAAGAGTTATCCTTATTTACATTCAGACTAATATCTTCATCTTTGTTGTTATTATCACCTGATCATGTTCTGCATGAATTTCTGGGATGAGGAGTTATCATTATTTACATCATTTACTCAGATCATTGTCCTCATAGGCTTACAGCGATATCACGTTAAAACACCACTTCTCGCACGATCACTGAAGTTAAGCAATGTTGAGCCTGGTCAGTACCTAGATGGGTGACCACTTGGGAATACCATACGCTGTAAGCTTGGATGTACAAGTGGCATAATGTATAATGCCTCGGAATTGGAAATCAGAGAGTTGCATTTGTTATATTCATATATGTGCAAGTACCTCTCGGAAAGGTATAACTCCAGCTATTCTCCCCCAGCTATGGGTTAATTAGTAAGATTTGTATCAGTAAATAATTAATATCTCCATGAAATTCTGGCTTTAAATAACCTGCAAAAGATTGATAAGCCATATAAATCAATCAATCAATCTAATGGTAATAGTAATCAATCAAACATTATACTGTCCTCATCTTTATTGATATAATCAATTATTATAAAGATGTATAATCTCTATCTAAATTTCTGGGAAGAGGAGTTATCAACATTTAGATTATTTATAGTCGGACCAATATCCTCATATTTGTTGTTACTATCACAATGTTTCAACCATTGTGCCCTTCGTTTTTTTAGGTGTCTGTCCATCCAAGTAATATTAAGGAAATTCTGAACTGAACCCATTATTTAATCTATGGTGGTTAGTTGCTCTTGTTTCACTGTCCATGTCTGGGGATATCGTGTCTTGTTTGTCTTTATTACTGCTCAGTTATTACTTATCCAGTCTTCACTGAATCTGTACTATCATGCAGAGGGATTGAACTCACAACTACTATGCCACTAAATTTGTGGACCAAAGCTTAATCCGCTAGGCTTTTGTCTCATGGGACAATCCCAAGGTTATAACTTGTATCTTTTTGCCACATATAGTCTGGTGCTTCTGTTATATATTTAGAGATCCTTGATAAAATCCATAGAAGAATCTGCAATGTTATTGGCTCTGACCTTACATCTCAGCTTCAGTCACTTTCTCACTGCTGTTATGTAGCTTCCCTGTACCTTTTCTATAAATACTTTCATAGTAATTGTTTGGATGAACTTTTCTCTATGGTACCTAGACTTTATGAATTTAAGTGTAGTACTAGATTGGTTGCAGGGTCTCATCATCTGTTGCACTTCTCGCATGTGGAACACTCTTTCGGCTTCTTGCTTCCCAGTCAACTTTGATCTTCAAAAAATTAAATGTAATATCAATCATTATTTTTATTCTTCTTAATTCCTGTTCTTATGTTATTCTTATGCCTAAATAATATTTTTCTTTTTCTTATATTCTTTCACACTCAGTTACCGCCATGCATTTTAGTGGCTTTATTACCTTGCTTGAGGTGAAATGATTAAAACAAATTGTTTTATTACCTCCTCTGTTACTGCTGCAGCCTTGCTGTCAACCTTAGCTTTCTCTGTCACTGCTTTTCTTTCAATCGCCAAAGTCTTTCTCTTTAGTTTGGCTGTTTCTGTTGCCATTTCTCTTTCTTCATTTATTATTTGTTCTCATGTTGTATTTATATTTATCATTGTTTAAATTCCCTGAAGGTTACTTACACTGAAATACACCTGAAGAAAGCCTGAAGTGTCGAAACGTGATAGTAACAACAAACATAAGGACATTAACTTCAAATGATGTAATTAATTACAAGGTGGTAACATTTAAATTTATGTCAAGTAATTTCATGTATTTGTTCACTTTTAATAGCTGTCTTTAATGTTTTATACTCAATTGTATTATATTTTCTATAGAAACTTTTAATGGTTGTCTGTAATGTTTTATACTCAATTGTATTATATTTTCTATAGAAACGCAATGCAAATGAAATGAATTAGAAAATAAATTTAGTAGAGGAAAACAATAAAAGAAGTTTTATTATATGATTATATTTGAAAGGGATAAAGAATGTGTCTAAAGTGGATTTTACTATCATCATCATCATCATCATCATCCTCCTCCAAATTCCCTATGGTTGGTCAAAACTCCAATGACAATCCCTTTCCACACTGTTCAGTCCTGTATTGCTGTCCCAAGATTCCCAATGTCCAACACTGAGTCCCAAGCTATGGTGTCTGGGAAACTCAATTTTCATAAAAAAACATCTCCAGAAAGATGCCATAGGAGTAAGGATGAGATGACCACCTTGTCTGCTTGGTGGCAGTTGCCAGCAAGCTGTAGGCTTTTTTGCTTGAGCTTAAGAGAGAGTTCTCAGTAGATTGTGTTAAGTGTTGCATGGAATCTTCAACTGATGTACTGGATTTTTTAGTAGATTCGTATATGCTCCATCCAGTCTTCTAAGACAAACAGATAATGTCCAAGTTTCTGATCCATTGGATTTTTAAGGAGGATGGAAGATTTGAGTGCCAAATCTTGTTAAGTTTGTTACACGCATTCCATGCCTTGTGAATGTTTAAGTCTTTTTTGGAATCTATGATGTGATATCCAGTATATTTGAGGTCCTCAACTCTTTTGATGGATATGTTATTGAGTGATTTCAACTCGTATGGTTCAGAGGAGGTTGGGATGCATTCTGTCTTACTTTCATTGCAATAAAAACCTACCTGGTTTGCTGCTTGCTTGAGTGATTGCAGCAAGGATTCTGCATCCTTGATACATTAAAAAATTAATGCAAGATCATCAGAAAAATCAGGTATTGTGGAGGGTACTAACTGCCTTGGTTAGGTTTCAAAAGGAGTCCTTTTTCCTTCATGTTTTCAAGAGAAATACACAGAACATAGTCCAGAATAACTATAAACAGAAAAGGAGCAAATGTGTCACCTTGTAGAACTCCTGCTTTAATGTCAAAGGAATCAGTCTTGTTATCAGGTGATACAATGGTGGCAGTGGTGTTTCTATACAGAGCTCTTATTGACTCAAAAATTCTGGAGAGCATACCAGAGTTGGAGGATTTTGAACATGAGATCTCTGCTGATGGAATCAAATACCTTGCAAAAGTCAACAAAACAGATTGTGACCTCTTTGTTGAATTTTTTCATCTCTTCCAGCAAATGGAGAGGATTTGAGCAGTTGCTGAACTGCAACTAAATCTATTCTGGTTCTTTAGGAGGAGTGGATCAATGGTAGGGACAATCCTATTTAGCAGAAGCTTATGGTAAACTTTTGCTGCAATTGGCATGAGAGTTATACCCCTATAATTTACTGCACTTGTTAGATCACCCTTTTTGGAACAGGAACTATTCTACCCTTCAGCCAAGCTGAAGGTGGTGAATGGTGTATGAATATATGGTTGAAAACTCTAGGAGGAGATCATGAAATGTTGTTATGTTGACAAGACTTGGAGATTTGTTGTTGGCAAAATCTTTGAGTATTGTTTTGAGTTAATTGAGCATGAATGGGTTGAATTTTACTATAGGAATGTATTGGAAGAGGATTTTGTTTTAGAAATGCATTGTAAAGGGGTTTTATGATAAGATTACATTGGGTAGAGGATTTTAATGTAGGAATGCATTTTTTTTTACAACAGAAGTGCATTAGTAGGGGATTTAACTATAGGAATAGATTGAAGGTGGATTTTAATGCAGGAATGCATTAGAGAGAGTATTTTGCTATAGAAATGCATTGTAAGTGAGTTTTATCATATGAATAGACTGGAAAGGGATTTTAATATACAAATACTCTGGAAGGGAATTTTATTATAGTAATAGATTGGAAGGAGATTTTAATAAAAGATGGTATTGGAAGGAGATTTTACTATAGAAATGCATTGGAAGGAGATTTTACTATAGAAATGCATTGGAAGGAGATTTACTATAGATATGCATTGGAAGGGATTTTATTACAGGAATGCATTGGAAGGAGATTTTACTATAGAAATGCATTGGAAGGGATTTTATTATAGGAATGCACTGTAAAAGGCTTTTTTTCTTTACAATAGGAATGCATTTGTAGGGGATTTTATTATTGGATTTTTACAATAGAATACATTGGGAGAGGATTTCACTATAAGAATAGACTGGAAGCAGATTTTACTAAAGGGATGTATTGGAAAGTGAGTTTTATCTCTAGGAATGCATTGGAAAGGGATCTTTTCTATAGGAATACAGTTGAAAGGACATTTTACTATAGAAATACATTAGAAGGAGATTTTACTATAGAAATTCATTGGAAGGGATTTTATTACAGGAATGCATTGGAAGGGATTTTATTATAGGAATGCACTGTAAAAGACTTTTTTCTTTAGAATAGGAATGCATTGGTAGGGGATTTTATTATTGGATTTTTTACAATAGAATACATTGGAAGAGGATTTCACTATAAGAATAGACTGGAAGCAGATTTTACTAAAGGGATGTATTGGAAAGTGAGTTTTATCTCTAGGAATGCATTGGAAAGGGATCTTTTCTATAGGAATACAGTTGAAAGGACATTTTACTATAGAAATGCATTAGAAGGGAGTTTCAATATTGGAATAGATTGGAAGAGGAAATTAATCCCGATAGTAAAATCTCTTTCCTAGGAATTGTTTTGTGTGTGTTATCAACTGCTGAATTACATTTTTCTTAATCACATGCCAAGATTGCATGCAAAGATAAGTACTACATTCAAATCATACAGACTTTTCAAATCACCTGAAATGTTTGGATAGTAAAGCTGGAAAACCAAATTTATAGATGAAAATAACTGGGTTGGAGATATAAAAGTTTTTTAAAAATTATTTCACTCAAGGCCACTAAGATGCTAAGGGTTACTGAGTATGAGAGAATATGAGAGAGAAAAAAACACTATTAAGGAGAGAGGACAATAGAAATTAAGAAGACAGAAGATAATGATTGACATTGCATTTACATTTTTGAAGGTCAAAGTTGACTGGAAGCAAGAACCCATAAGTAAGTTTCACTTGGCAAGAAGTGCAATAGAAGAAATTGTTAGCATAGAACTTATGGTTATATCTAGCCATTTCAATTGTAAAAGATGAGACCCTGCCACAAATCTAGTACAGCTCTTAAATTCATAAAAGTCTAGGTATGAAAGAGGAAAGCTCATTAGAACAATTACCATGAAAATATTTATAGAAAAGGAACAGGGAAGCTATGTTACGGCAGTCGGAAAGTGACTGAAGCCGAGATGCAAAGTCAGGACTGATAACATTGCAGATTCTTCTTTGTATTTTATCAAAGATCTCTAAATACATA